ACAAGTTATATCCATTTATGTGTACTGCATGGATAAGAAAAGTCATGGACAATGGGCTCGCAATTTCGAAAAAGTAAAATGAAGATGAAGGAATTTGATTTTGTTTTATAATTTTTTGTTATTTATAGGTAAAAGCAGTTGTCGTTGAACTTAATGAGCTTATCTCCCGAATTAAAACTGATCATAGAATGAAGAAAACCGTTGAAGAACCATTGTCAATTAATATTTTTACCACAAGTACTAATGCAAGTACATCAATAATGGGTGTAAATGGTCAATTTGTTTTCTCTCAAGTTTTAATTGATTGTCTTCAGCGGTTAGAATTCAATAAGACAGATAAAGAAGAGCTTATTCATCTTTGTAAACAGGAATATAAAGAGAACGATTTTGAATTGAGCTATATTGATGAATTTGAAAATAGTTATTCACCTGACCAAGTCTTGTGGTGGTACACAAGACAGTCATTCTTCTACAAAACTCTCAATGCTGCTCTACGTAAGCAAGATATTCATTTAATTTTTCTATTACGTGCAATTATTTCGGATATGCATCGTCAATTGAAAAATAATCAAGCTAAACATCCTCTACGAGTTTATCGAGGCCAGATGATGTCAAGTGATGAATTGCAAACTTTGAAACAATGCCTCGATCAATTTATATCAGTGAATTCATTTGTTTCCACCAGTATGGACAAACAGAGAGCTCTTACATTCCTGAACACTTCTAATGCTACAGACAGTTTAGAACGGGTATTGTTTGAAATCGATGCTGATCCTACAATGGCCACTACAAAACCATTCGCTGATATCAGTCCGTTTAGTCAATTTCCCAGAGAAGCAGAAATACTTTTTATGCTTGGTTCTATTTTTCGTTTGAAAAGCATCCATCGCTATGGCGACAGTCAAGTATGGGTTATCCGAATGGTTTTATGTAGTGATAATGAACACGAATTAAAATACGTTCTTATGAATATGAAACAACAACTTGGAAGTGGAAAAACAGATCTTCGAACATTAGCAAGATTACTGTCGGAGATGAATAAAACTGATTTGGCTGAAAAATATTTTATGCGCTTGTTAGAACAACTTCCATCCAGTGACCCATTACTTTATGATTTGTATCAGGATCTTGGTAAACTCGCATCACAAGTCGGTAATTTTGGCAAGAGTATGGAATGGCGTCAAAAAGCTATTGCGCTGCAACAAAAAAATGAGCTAGCAGGTAAGCGATCGTATAAGTAACTTCATCGAAAGCAGGTCTATTACGTAGAAACAGGGGTCCTATATAAAAACTAATATTGCATTTGGAAAAACGCAATTTTAAAAGTTCAGAAAAGCGAAGCTCATAAAAAGTTATTAATAGTCTCATAAAAAAATCATGATTTTTCCGTACGGAAGAACCATATGATATGTTCGAAATAGCTGATGGTTAGAATGAAATCGACAGAATCATTGACAATCATCTTCTCTAATTCTAAATCTTATCTTCTCTGACGATTATCTTCAGACACTTTTCACAATAGCACTGATATTTATTTCACTCTTTCAATATTTCTACATCATGATACTAATGAAGAGTGAATCGAAGCTGTTTTTGCGTAAAAGTAGACTATATAAGTGAATGGAAATATCGTTCGATGCTTTATTCAATTCAACTAACACATAATTTTCGAAAACAATGCCAATCGGACGTAGATAATTAGTGTCTAAATTTTTTGTTGTGCTTCAATTCAAGCAAAGGATGTGCGCTGAAGACTCGTTTGAACTTTCACTTCTCACTTACCTCCAAAGAATGTTGAAGTATTAGTTACAGTTGTCGTAAATATTTTATCTATCATCTCGTTCTGCTCATTGATATCCGTCGAATAATAATGACCTAAATGATTCCTTCTCATATTCTCGTATTAGCATTATATTTAAGCTAGTAGAGTTTTTTTCTGACTTTAAAGCTTTACTTTATTTTACATCTTACATCGCTATGTGTCGTGCGATTGATTCACCGTTCAATTTTACACACTGTTGTATATTCTGTTGGTGTGGATGAGTTTTCTTTACTCCATTCAGATTCAAACCAACACACCAACATTCAATATTATGATAAAATTATGTAGTGTTGAAATTATTTAAAACCACTAGTAAAAGAAGAACTATTCATTGATGGATGTTTTTCTCATTAAGACATATGCAGTTGAAACTATTACTTTATTTCTATTATATAGTCAAATATGTTCGTAGTTGTGAATCTCTAAAAACTTTACAGACTTTCTACGAAAATTTTAAATTCTGGTTGAACAGCACTTACTATAATTGACGTAAGATTCCGATCACATAACATGATAGTAGTGAATAGAATCGATAGTAGGCATGCTGTATAATAGCTGGAAGTGTTACTTCATGTCAGAGTTCACATTACAAAAGTCACTCACAATAGAAATTTAAGGTATAATCTGTCAATTTTTATCGCTGATTTTTTCGCGAACTTTGGGTTTCATTATAATTATCGCTTCTTATATTAGTATCTAATAAAGGATACTGTCATTTTCTCTTGGGTTATAACCGTTTTCTGCATTGAATAGACGATGTAATTGATACAAGTGAAAAACATACGCAAAGATCGAGATCAACTAAATAAACAGAAAAATAAATGTAACTTTTCCTAATGTTTTAGTCTTCTAATTTACAACTCGTCTTCGGTTGCTTTTTTATTTTGCTAGTTTCATTATTCTCAAATCAGTTGGATGAGATTATCTTCGATTAAAACAGTTCTATCGATCTAATTTATGTAACATTTATATACAAACAACTAGAAAACACTAAAAAAACATGGCTAAATCATGTTAATCGTTGTCCATTCTTATTGAGATAATTTATTTGTGATATAATTGATATATTTTTTGACCAGTATTAGTTTTAACAACCTCTCATAGCGGAAA